CCTAGATATTAATGTAGGATATATGACTGATCACATCTCGGAATATGATAATTATAGTTATGAAGAAGTTGATGATGAATATGATAATACTGCAATTAGGAGAAGAAGCAAGACACCATTTTATGATACAAAAGTAGAGAAACCTTATTTCTGCCTTGATATGGTGTTTGATGATCCAAATCAATTTAAAGGGGCTTTGGTAAAGCATTCAATTCTTCAAAAGTGTGAAGAATAATTATTTTATGACGTGGGCAATGTGTAAGGCTCCAAGATGTAGTTGGGAAATATATGCATCATATGAGAGAAACTCAACTTACCTTGAAGAACATTAATGCATTCCCTCTTTATACAATAACAAACTTACGAGTACGTGGCCGACCAATAATATGTTCAATAAAATGAGAGCTCTACCATTAATGAAACTTTGTGAATTAAGAGATGCTTGTGATAGACAAATATGATCTGAAAATTGTTGTCAAAATATAACAAAGCTAAAGAGATGGTGATGTAATAGATCGAGGTGAAATTAAAGTGGAGTATGCTAAACTTGAAGATTATAAATGTGAGCTAATAAGGTCTAATCCTTGAAGTACAACATGATTCCGTTGTGGAAGTTTTAGACTATACCCACAATCGTCGTCAATTTTTGAGATAATGTACATTGTGTTTGAGTGCTTGTAAGAAAGTGTTTCTTACCGGTAGTAGAAAAATTATAGGACTTGATGAATGCTTTCTTAAGATAGTGTGTAAAGGGTAACTTTTATCAACAATTGGTAGGGATGAGAGTGACCAAATATTCCTAATAACTTGGGCGAGTGGTAGATACAAATTTTTTTAATATTTGTTCATGGTTTTTTAAGAATTTGAAAGTTGATCTTAGTATTAACGATGGTGATGGATAGATAATAATCTCTTACCAACAAAAGGTGATGTACTTAGACTCACTTATTATTTTTCGAGTTTGATTTACAAACTTAATTTTTTGTTTCAATATTTAAAAATATAACAATTAATGCTAAATGTTAAGGATTGTTGAGAGTTGTAGCAAAAATGATGCCAATGGTAGAGCATAGATTTTGTGTTCGGGATTTGTATGCAAACCGAAGAAAAAAGAACCTAGAAAAGGATTTATAAAAGCAACACTAGATATATGCTAAAGTCAATTATCATACCCTAAAATTTTACCCATTTTTCTTTTATTTATTTTTCTTTTTGTTATTTAAATTCATACTTGTTTTACATAAAATCAAATTAAAAAATAAAAAATATTTTCGTTCATTTATTTAGAATTTCAAAAAAAAAAAAAAAAAGGAGATGGAGGGACAATTCCCCTCCACCTCTATGTACAAATTCTTTTTTTAGACGTTTTTAGCCATATTCCCAACCTTCAACTTATAGCCTTCATCTTTATTCAAGTAACTCTTGCCACATCTAAATTATCCCTTGGAAAATTCATCACTCCCTCCCCATCATTCCAAGTAGCCCACAATCGACAACACACAACTTGCAACCCATAACCCTTTCACTTGTCCTAATTCTACAACAACTTGCAGCCTCCATTTTGCTACAAGTTACCCCGTATAATCTTCCCCAAGTCAACAATCCCCGCACAACCCCATTCCGAGCACCTTCTACTACCGCCACAATCCCATCAACCCCCAATTTGCCCCTGCAGTGCTCCTCCCTCTAATCAACAATATCAAGCCATATCCACCCTATTCGTCGTAAATTCCGAGTAGCTCCCTCATCACCCAAGTCAACCTCCGTAACCCCATACTGCTCGTCATTTCTCCCGCACCACCCTACAACCTCCCTTACTTCCAGCTAGTCTCACCACTATCACAAGACACAACCATAGTCCAATCCATACCCCATGTATCCCGTAGAAAATCCTCCACCATCATAGTGGGGAACCAAAAAAGCATTTCGGATATATATACATGCACAATTCGGACGAGTAGAGGAGGGGTTAGTCTAAAATTTAGAGAGATTAAGTCTGTCCAAAAATTCAAAGAAATCAATCTAAAAAAAAAAAGAAGAAAAACTAGGCGATAATAAAAATATGAAAAAAAGGAGAAATAGAAGTTACCTCTTGAAGCATCAATCCACATTCATCTTCATTCTCTTAGGTAATCAATTCAATTTTGCTTTGAATTCGAATTTCTTTTGATTCGTCAATTTAGGTTAGTCTTGAATTTTGGGAGTTTTTGAAATTGAATTGAAATCGGGGTTGAGAAGCACGAATTAAACTCAATTAAAGTTAATTGGAGTTTCAATTTGGTGTTTAAACCCCAAATTGAAGTCGAATTGATTTCAATTCAATTTTAGGGTTCTTGAAGTTTTTTTAAACAAAATTAATTTAAGGGTTTCAAGAAATTGGTTCCTAATAAGTGGGATTTGGTTCGATTTAAAGAGAAATTAAGCCAATTAAGGCCAATTAAAAGAAAATTTTGAAGAATTGAAAAACTTAGGATTATGTCGAATTGGAGAAATCTTCAAAAATTGATTTGGGGCTTTTGATCTCACTTGAAGGAAGGGTTAATAGAGTGGGAGGGAAGAAAAAAATTAAGTGGCCATGGATGAACCTCCATTGGTTCATCTATGGCGATCTCGACCATAAGAGAGAAATATTCGGGACAAAGAAAGAAAAAGAAATAAAAGAGAGAGAAAAGACAAAGAAAGAAAAGAGAAGAAAGAGAGAAAGGGAAAGAAAAAGAAAGAGGAGAGGGAGAGAAGGAGGGACAAACCGAGTTGTCCATGGCGGTCGGTCAAGAGAAGAAGAAGGAGAGGAAAGAAAAGAAAGAAAAAGAAAGAGGAGAGGGAGAGAAGTAGGGACGAACCGGTCGTCCATGGTAGTCGGTCAAGAGAAGAAGAAGGAGAGTAAAGAAAAGAAAGAAAAAAGAAAGAGGGAGAGACGAGATGAAGAGAGGAGAAAAAAAGGGGTCTTGATCTATTTTTTTTTTCAAAAGCACAATTAAGAAGTGTTTGTGGGTTGGACAAGCCCAACCCATATGGGCGTGGCTGCATTGGGCTAATTTTAGCTCGATCTAGCCCCTAAAAAAATAAAAAAATTGGGTGGACTATCCAAACCAAAAAAAAGAAAAAGAAAAAAAGAAAGACTAAAAAAAAATGTTTGTCATTATTTTCATGCATGTGATTATTTCATATTTTATTTAGATATTGAATTGTCTTTAATTATTTTAATTAATGTAATTTTAATCTTGAGTTTATTTTATGCATGTTTATTAGTTGATGTTAACTTAAAATTTAATGTCTTAATTGTCCGTAATTATTTTAATTAATTTAATTTTAATGTTGAATTTATTTTATGCATGCTTGTTATTTAAATTTCGGTATTTAATTTTTTTTAATTTACTCAATTAGTGTAGCTTTAATTTATTTGTTTAGTAATTAGGCTCGGTAAGTAATGGGTGGAGGATTGTCAAGTCTCCTAATTCTTTAGAGACCGATGACTGGTCTTTTACCAAATAAAAAATGAAAAGAAAAAAAAATAAAAAATGAAAGAAAAATAAAAAATAAAAAATAAAAAAAATCATAAAACTTTTAATAAAGTCTCCTACTTGATAGGGACTCGTTGTTAGCCAAAAATCATTCTTAATAAACAAGTGTTCTCCGACACATCGGTTGTGTTGAGACTCGAAAATTGGATCCGATGTTTGAACCGACGTGTCTCCCGATTGAAGGGGTTCAATGTTCGTTTCAATACGATGCCATACTCAAAATAAAAACTTGATTTGACTTGAAAAATTGGAGTTCTAAATTGAAAAATAATTTGGAAAAAATAAAACATTTGAGGAGATGAATTTAGGACTAAACCGGACGTGGTACTTTTTTTCGAAAAAGGCGCTTTTGGGTGATCGATATCTTTCCAAAAGTGTAACTAACTCCATACCATAGGATCTCCGAACTAGTGCTCATTTTATGTTCCTAATTCTTTCAATACTTGGTGGAGACTCTAAACTCTGTAAATAAATTTTGTAAATAAATAAATCTTAAACTAGAGATTTTGATTTTGGGGAGTCTCGTTCAATGTCGGGTAGCGACATCACTCATATGCTCGATTTTAACAAGTTCACAAATCTCTTACAGGGAGAAAATTATAACGAAGCTATGAGTCGATGATGAAGAATGATCCTAAACATTATTGTAAGACTTTTTTTAATACAAATATCACTTGTGATATCATTGATAATAATTTAACATAAGCTTTTAATGGTAAAATTATTGAGACTAGATATAAGTATATTTATATGATGTTAGAGGATATTAGGGTGATGGTTATGAATAGACTACATACTAATAGGGATTTAGCATTGAAGTGAAGTGGGAATTATGATCCTAGGATTAGAAGGAAATTTAAGGAATAAGTGAACTTGGTTGAAAAATATAAACTTTATTAGAATGGGGATGAAGGCTTTGAAGTCATTCATAATGATAATAAATTCATTGTTAATGCAAATGAAAAGACATACACATGTAGATTATGGTCATTATTTGAAATTCCTTATTGCCATGCTATGACATCTCTTATGAGCATAAAACTACATCTTGATAATTATATTGATGATTGGTATCATAAAGATAAATATCTTCAAACTTACCAGTTTTTGATAAAACTCGTAAATGGTAAGGAGTTTTGGAAAAGGACCGAAAAACCTTTTCTTTAACCACCACTCTTCAAAGTATGTCCTAAAAGAAAAAAAAAAAAAGCTTAATAGAATAAGAGAGGAAGGAGAGCCAAAGTCTACAATAGGCAAGCTATAAAGAAAAGAAAGAATAATGACTTGTTGTTGGTGTCATAAACAAGGAATAATAAAATTTCTTACCTAATTAGAAAGATTAGAGGGTCATTAGTTTCAGAACTTATAAAAAAGCATCGAGAGGTTAATTGTAAGTTAACTCATTATTTTCCTTTGTATTAGTGTATTTATATGTTTATTATATGTTAACTCATAATTTTCATTTTGAATTTGAATTAGATTAGGGATAGGAAAAATGCATGTCGCGGACCGGATGCGACTCAAGGTTCGGGTGTTGTCCAAAATGGTTATGTTCAATGTTCAAGTGATGCAAGGATGTTGGCAAAAGGATGGAAAGGGCTAACGCTAAGGATAGAAAATGATATAGACACTATTATGGTGAATCTGTTCAAAATATGAGTTTTAAATATAAGTGTTGTGAATTTTCATTGCGAGTCCTTCTATTCATAAAATGGTTCTACTTAATGGTTTTGTACATAATATTTTCCACGTTTTTCGGACTCAAGGCAATGAGGGAAGAAGAATAGCTTTAAGTAGTTTCATCATCATAAATTGATTTTTAGCTAAAAAAATGTGTTAAAAAATAAAAGAAAAAATAGTTACCGTAATTGAAGAAGAAGAAATCCAACTAATGCAAAGTCGGTGGAACAAGAAAAAAAGGCCAATAATGCTGCTAGCTAAGTTGGAACTCAAGAGTCTCAAGTGGTATCCAAGAAAAGAACTTGAAATCTATATAAACTATAACTTGGGAGATATCATGAAATCTTCTTTTTCATTATTTTGGATGTTAATATGTCATCTATCCAGGCTTATTATTTTAGATGTTAATAAATAATCTAGCTATACTATTTATGAAGGATCATGCATCATATGGAGGTGCGAAATAAATTTTTTTTTCCTCCATCTAAAAGGCCCAAGATCATGTTGTTGAATCAATTAACCATATATGCATGAATTAAAACATAAAAAAAGGATTACCTCTTGTAGTGTAGATTTTAACCTTAGTAGAAAAGGAGTCGTCCAAGTGTCCGATCTTTATTGATAATCCATGCGGTCAAAGCACCTACACAAGACACACTCAAAATTGATAATGTGCTAGCTCTATTTTTTTTGACTTGTTAAGTGTTTTAGAAATCAATTTAGGGATTTTTGCGATAACCCTAAAAGAGAGAGAGAAAATGGCGTGTGCTAGGGTTGAGGAAAAAACTATTTTCTTTTTCTTTTTTTAATCTATGCCTTGTAGCCCTATTTTCTTTTTTACTTTGTGCCATGTCTTCCTCTCTAATCATCATGGCTTTCGTCGTACCTCATTTTCATATTTATAGGGGAGAGGCTTCCTTGTCCTCCAAGGATAAGGAAGGGGCGACAATGAGTCCTTAAAGGACTTTATGTTATTGCTTTCTAATCCTCTAAGGATTAGGAGTTGTTATACATGTGGGCTTTTTGATTTTACCCTTTTAAACATTCATCCTTATCCAATAAGGTTTATGTTTATCCTTGCACCAAAATATCTTATAAGCTTTAATTAAGCTTATTGGCCCAAATTTCTTTAGCCCAATTAATTTATTTGGACTATCCAAATAAATTAAATTAGGTATTTTAGGAGGCCCACATTAGGAATCAATTTCTCAAATTATCCTTAAACCTAAATTAGGAAACTAATTTATCTTTTAGGTTATTTACTTTCAAATTTGGAACCGACTTCTAAATTAGGAAATTGATTTTTAAAATAAGAAAGTTTCTATTTGAGAAAACTTTTCATTTTTGGAAAACTTTTCAAAAATAAGAAACTTTCATATTGAAAACCTTTTCCAACATCTTTGCTTCTCTCGTTATTATATGAATTTATAAACTTATACGTATTATTTAATAGGCTCCAAGATATGTTAGCAATGTATTAAGAATAAAAGACACCTATTTTATCTCTTAACATATAAATCAAGATTAGTCTTTAGCAAGACATTATGACTATCTAATTCTTGAGGAGGATTAATTAATATGTAATTACCTTTCACGAGTATGGTTATCATACAATTCAGTCCTCATGTTCATTTATCACGGTATGGTCTTGAATTTGGTTATTAGTTTATTCAATTATGATCACACAAGTTTTCTTCGAGTCCTAAATGTCTTAGCTCTTAGATTAAACCAACTATGCTCTATTAGTGTACTCCTACTGTGGTCATAGATTTTTTAAGCGGATATTCATCGAAGTGCAATGTGGTAACTCTTTTAGTATACAAGAAATGACATGTCCAATCTTAGTCATTTGCCTACCTTCATTAGATTCTTAGTGCACCTAATGAACCACTCACATGCAACCCCTTTTACTTGGGTCCAACGAAACAAGTTTTAAAGTATATGAATTCTTTAATGAGATAACCATGATGACTTTAAATCTAATAGTCGATTGTACCTATCTTGTATGAGATTTTCATAGACTAAATGAAATAGGTTCTCATGGAGAGTCAAGTTTAGTGATATGTTCTTTAACATAAATTACCTAAGTGCTTTCTTTGACATCATCATACCAATATGTGTAGGATCTCTTATCGCTATCATTTAGCATGAGCATAGCACTCGTAAGTCTAACTCGCATATATTCAATGACTATTATTGACAATGCTATGACTTGAGTATTTAATAATATCATTTACGTGCATAAATGGTTATTTCACATCATTTAATCAACCACTAATGCTATCATATAGCATGAGCATAGCACTCGCAAGTCTAACCACATAAAGTCAATATCTATTCTTAACAATGCTATGATTTGAGACATTTAAAGATATCATTTATGTGTATAAATGTTTGTCTCACATCTTTCGATCAATCATTGATGTAAATGCATATCATATGAATATTCAATAAATAAATATAAAAAAATAAGAATTAATAGAAAGAATTTTTTATTATTAATAAAATAAATATTACAATGATACGATAGCTCAAACCTATCCAAACATGGTTAGATCTTAGGAACTTATACTAACAATCTTCCACTTACATTAAAGCCAACTAGCTATATCCTTTAATCCCGATGATCATGTTTCAAGCTGTGACAAAGGCTTAGTTAATGGGTCGGTTGTGTTGTCATCAATGTAGACCTTTTCTATTTTTATGTCGTCTCGACTAGTAGTCACTCTTATCGGATGGTAGCATCGTAATATAGGCTTGGACCATTGATGAGACCTTGGTTCTTTAGCTTGTGCTATATTTATGTTATTGTCACGAGTACAATACTATTGGATCAACATCGATAGGAACCTATGTAGTTGGCCATCGACCATGTAATTTTAGAAGAAATCCTTTCTTTGATTTTTTCATACTTAACCTTTTAGTATCATGTCAATGTATCTGTCTTGGGAGACCCTTCATATTCTAAGTGATCTATCTCTATATATCTTGACTCTTAGTATGTAGGCTGCCCTCCCATGTCATACTTAGGGAAATTCCATTTGGATATCTTAATCTTTTATAGATTTCAACATTATAATATTCAAAGCTAAGAAGTAGTTTGTTTAATTTTAGAATAACCATGACTTGTAGGCTCTAACTAACTTTTTGTGTAGACAAGGTTAATTTTTTTTTTGGTGAAAAAGTCAAACTTTTTTTATTATTTCACCAAAACATTGACTCTAATTCCTAGAGACATGCTCATGATCATAAATGGACCTTTGCATTTTGTAAATCTTTTTTACATGTTCTTTAGAACCATTATGGTGTGTCATCTACACATCCTTTTCATTTGTCATTTTTAGGATCAATGTCTACATTGCCATTTCATAAATGTTAGCTTTTTCATCCATTTTAGGATACACATCACCATATGTTAAGATAAGAAGATCTTATCCTTTTATCCTTTGACGAACTCCTTTTAGACTTATGAAGTTCTTGTGTTTTTATTTGTGAGATAGTTACAACAGTTTGTAACTTATCTACTTAGGGTTTCATTAATAGAGTGTCATTTTATAAGTCTATTCAAATCCCATTGAGTTCTAATTTTCTCTCACTCGTTTCTAGCATCCATGAATTCTTTCTCAAGGAATATAGCATGCCTAGTCACCAACACTACTTTGTTTTAGTGGTAGGAAAATAATATCCATTTGTTTCTTTTAGATATCTTATGTATTTACACTTTATTGATTTAGGCTTTAGCTTTTCTTCGTCAAACCATTTGACATATGTTTTATAACCCCGAATCATTAAAGAAAGATAAATTCACTTTCTTTCCTTACCCTATCTCATACGAAGTCCAATCAAATAGACCTAATTGGACCCTTATTCATGGTAAAGATTGCGAGTAAGGAGCGTCTATCCTAAAATAAAATTGGGATATTAATTTGATTTTTTATGGACCAAAACTTGTTTAACATGTGATGTCCATTGATAGAGAATATTATTCTCTTCTAGGTGATTTAAATTTAGCACTTAAGTATTCATCACTTTGATCTAATTAAAATATCTTAATACTTTTGATAATTTGTTACTTGACTTTAAATCTAAATTCTTTGAACTTTTCAAATGCTTTAAACTTGTTTCTTATAACCGAAACATGATCTACTATCAATAAAGGTTATGTGTTAATCATGTCCTCATCTTGCTTGGGTGAACATAGGCTCAAATACATCTATATGTGTAAGGCCTTATTAATTTATAGGTATTTCTCCCTTTTCATTAAAAGGGATTCATGTCCTTTTACCAAGTAAACAAGATTCCTTAGACATCATTAAATTATTCTAGATATCCATTTATAAGTAGATTGGATATTAGATGCTTATTTATCCGGGTAAGTTAACGTTGCCATAAATGTATTTTATTTAGATTATTTGAGGTTTTTAGCATTTATGTTACATACATGGGAGCTATGTTCAAAACATTTAATCATTATTAATCAAGATATTTTTATATAAAACTTCATCTTTAAAAATAACCATTATTCTTAAGAATGAAAAAATTATTTAAAACAAGAAATAAAAATAACATCCTTAGTCTCTACTAAAATAATAGTTGAGTCTTAGCAGATGCCTACATGGTAGTGCTAGCTCATAAATGCCTACAACTAATGGTCTAACTTTTGATCCATTGAAGTCTGTGTTGGTCATCTCCCTTGAAGCTATCTTTCTTTCTTTTCTAAGCTTTTGCATATTTTAAAAATATGAGCACCACATCTAGTATCATATACCCATGGTATGAGATTAGAAATAAAAAATTAGCTTAAATGACACAAATACCCGAGGTGGTTGTAGAACTCTTCTTCTTCATCTCTTCTAGGTACTCTTTGTGGTTACATTTCCAATGACCTTTCTTGTTACAATAAAAGCAAACCATATCTTTTGGGCTATTTTGAGCCTCAAGCTTTTTCATCCCTCTAA